TCTCTCTCTCTCTCTCTCTCTCTCTCTCTCTCTCTCTCTCTCTCTCTCTCTCTCTCTCTGCTTCTTCATCTTCTGTACTTCTATAATACCAGAGATGGGATAAAGCCATTTTTAAAATGCCAAAGGCACACAGCACCCATAAGATATTAAGTAAAATGCCAATGCCATTTGGGAGCTAAGGGCAAAAGGATCTTTCTTAGTAAACATTTGCTTAAAATGATGTACTTTGTAAAACAGAAAAGTGTGTGTCTTTATTACTATATCCATTGTAGATAAAATTTTTGCAGATATTACATACAGAAATGCAAAGTCAAGATTTACATAAATTCTAGAACGTATAATACTTAGTAAAAGCCAAAACATAATTACCCAGAACTACTTTGTTCTTGACATTATTATAATAATTGTGGTCATTAAATAATATTCTCTAGGCTCATTTAGTCACTTCCTTTATATTTCACTGTTTGCATTTCTATGTGTCTAACTTGAAGTAAAGCATCATTTTGGATCATCTTTATCCCCTTTATCCTGATATAGTCCTCAAAATACTGTGTCTCCTCTACTCCTACATTTTCATGATTGTCTTTCAATAATATCTGGGAATGTTATTGGTCTTAATAACATATAATTTAAATTCCAACATTTAGCATTGTTTTAAATGGTCATGGGTAATTATGACATGAGAGTGCTTTTTATTTCATTGTGTATAGATTTCTCTATGAAACAACAATTTCTGTTAGGAAGCATGCGTAGCAGGCTGGACAAATCATAGTTATATTGCAAGCAGATAATCCCCGAAAGAAAACAACAAAAAAAGCAAGAGAGGAGCTTATTTTTATAGTTTACATATTAGAATATAATTTGCTTTCAAATTCATAGTGTAACTTACCTGTTCCCTTGAGCAAAGTTGTACATAAATTGTTTTTCTGTACTTCTGGTAATCTTGCCATTATCTTGGTACTGAAATTTTAGACTAATATAATTTGCCAAGAATCCTTTGTATGCTAAACATAACTAAAAAAATATGAAAACAATCAGTAACAATATTTTGTTTTTTAACAATTCAAATTAATTCAATCTAATTCTATAAATATTTATTCAGCACTTTCAACATAAAGTGTATCAGGATATAGAGAAAGGAAGAAAGGAATGACTAATTTCAGTTAGCTGTTGGAGAAGAATTGGGGAGATTTTATTAACATGGAAACGGATTGATAGTTTGTTTTCCTAGATATGGCTTCCTTTAAAAATTGAAACCGTTCACTTCTTATGGAGAAGCACCATGTACTAACCCTCATTAAAATTTGTGATAAATTTAAAAGTCTGCTACATGTAAAGAGGGGTGTTAAATTTTCTGGCAGATTAATTGGAATGTGAATACTGAATATATGGAAATAAAGGTAAAATGTCACGTAAAGTAGTAATTAAATATCTAGTTTAATGGTCTACCACTCCTTAAGCATGCCATGTATTTTAAGAACATTAGAACATGTGCCACAACTTGAGAAATGTTTTTAAGAAGAAAACGTAAATCTACCTTTAAATACCCATACAAAAACTGCCATTTCCTTGGGTCATGGAATTCTTTCACTTTTACCCAACTAAATATTCATCAATCTGCAATGGCTATCCATTTTTTTCTTTCTTAATGAACAAAATGTAAGAGATTATACATATTTAACTTGTTTCAATATTTAAATTTGTGTGCAAATAATTTTTCTAAAATTAGGAGATAAATGATACTATTTTCTCTCTTTCTTTCTTTCTCTCTTTCTTTCTTTGTTTTCTTTTCTTTTCTTTTCTTTTCTTTTCTTTTCTTTCAAATCACCAGAAAAGAAAATCAAAAAACCACTCAAAATGTGAACAATGCCTATCCAACATGACATGATTTCACATGACAAGCACTTTTCCTTGTTTTAAAATTTCATGAAATTTTATTACCAAGGTATTTTCCAGATTCCATTTGCATAGCATTTTGTTGAGCTTACCTGATTATAAGGAAATAATAAAATGTCTCCATATGGTAGTCTGTTTGGTTTAGCATCTGCTGAGTCAAAGAGAACAGATGGGTTTTTCAGGGAATAACGGCCACAGTAAGCACCACTCTCCGCTGTCTTCTGCCCTCTATTAACATTTTCCTACAGAAACAATAATATTTCAATTGAAGGCATGATTTATTTCTCTCCCCACATCCCCAATCAAGTTGTGAAGGTCCAAACGGGATCCTCCAGTTTCC